CATTGAACTAACACCAAACACGTACAATCTGAACGATGCAACACCTGTTCTGGATACATGTGTAAAATCACAGTAAAAAACTAAGAAGGCAGAAGGAATAAAAACATGGAAAGTAAATTATGATGTACTAATATGATTATCAGCAATGAATTGTGCTCATAACATCCTTCAGTTATTAAAACTGTATTACTGTGTTATATCAATCAGATAAACTTGTTTAGTAAGCCTCACTCTGGTGATGAAATGAATTTTGTTAAGTATGCCGATGATCTAACTATTTCAATGTCTGTTAACTTCCAGCTAGACTGTACTAAGATGAACAGATTTCTATCAGGAATTAGTAAATGGTCTTCGTCTAACGGCCTTAAACTAAATCCTTCCAAATGTCAGACTGTTAATTTCAGTTTCCGATGTAAACGAAAGCTGAATGAAGCCGTTCGTTCCTATGACCCTTGCAAAATTGATGATACTGATATAGAAACCAAGTCTGAAGTTAAGTATCTTGGATTAATTCTTTCTTCTGACCTATCCTGGTCTTCCCATGTCTTAGCGATTTCTAAAAGAATATTTCGTCTGACTTTTTACTTTAAGAAGTTAAGGCACTCAGGCATAACTCAAACCCTCCTCTTACAGTTTGTCAACTCGTGCATCTTACCTATTCTTCTTTACTGTTCACCCTTATTCTTTCCTGGATTGCTTAAAAAAGACTATGTCATACTTCGTAGAACTCTGAAGACTGTCAGTAGGGCGAGTGGTATCCCATTGGGCCATATCGTTGACATCGTCATTGATAGGCACTTGATTTCATTCAATAAATTTGCTAAAGGAATTTTGTCAGACTGTGAGCACCCACTCTACCCACAGCTCCAACCTTGTGTCTCCTCAGGTAAAACAAGAAGTCTTTTCAGAAGACTTTATGCACGTACGTCTAAGTATAAAAATTCCACTATACCATATTTGGCACGTACTTTATGTGATGAAAATAGTGTTAGGCATGAACTAACTAACCTTCTTTGCACTAGTAAATAAACCATTTCCTCCACCCTTACAACATCAAACTTTATTGTTATTGTATTTCTTATATTTATAATCCTCTCAATTTTTTGTTTTTATTTGTTTATTTTTTCATAAGTGTGAATATCATTTAAGCTGTGTTATAACTGTTAATTTTGTCTTTCCCCTCACCATACTGCTATATTAACAGAACATTAGATTCAATAATCTATAACAAGCTGAAATTTCCAAACTGAATCGACAATACTGTTTGAAACAAACTCACTGTTATTATTATTATATTTAATATTCTCAATTCGTGCTTCGAATATTTTTGACTTTATATCGTAAATGTGGACAAATTCCTCTGGTTAATTTTGTTTTAATTTTATTTATATTTTGAGTAAATCAGATGCAAGATGGTGTGACAAATGCTGAGAATTCCATTCTGTATTATAAGTACTGTTTATGGAATAAAGTAGATTATTATTATTGTTAATTATATTTTACTGTGGCAACTATGATTTCCGGTTTAGTCACAAGCTGATATCAGCAAGAGAATCATTAGAAAACTATGGAGTACTGGACAGCTGTTTCACCCTAGTTTGAGCCTCTTCATCGGCACGCACCCACCGGGGTCCGAACCCCGAAACCGCTGGCTACAAGAAAAGCTAGCAGACCATTCGGCCACTAGGATCCAATCCAAGTATCCATGAATTCCAGCTACTGGCGATATATATACCAAACAATTGATGTTAGGTCATGATCAAACCCAGCAATTAATCAAATCCCGGCAAACCGACACGTGAAAATCCGTGATTTCGATAATTGATAACATACCTTCGTCTGACCACCTTTTATTCTTCTCCAACCTACTCCGACCTTAGCTAGCGTTATCCGCCAAAGTAGGCCTCTTCGTTCAGCATGCATAGAACATTTCCCAGCTACCATATTGACTGCTTATCTTGACTAACACTAAGTTCATTCTCCAAATCACTTGCCTATAGTATATATCACAGAATATGTAATTTATTATGGGAATTTAATCTTGAGTGAAGCGTCTACTAACTCTGAACTGCCGTTTATTGCAGAGGGATTTGCTGCTAACCGGAATGTTTTCGTCTAGAAAACCACAACTTACTTTAGAAATTTACTAGACAGTAAAACAAATTGGTAATTTTGCGATTTATCTAGTCCATGTTAATAGGCAGTTGTAATTGATTTTGCCATGCAGAATAACCCAAATAGGAGCGACACATTCTAGAATTCTGTGACAGCCATAAGAAGAATAAATCTGACTGAGTGATTTCAAAAAGAACTTTGCACAGATGTGCAGCAGTTCGAGTTTCCACTCGCCCTCATTGTAGCACACAGAGCAAGAGAAGAGAGTGAAAAAATGATTCAAAAGAGACATAATAAACAGAAATGTGAGGGGATATGCATCGACTGAGATGCTTAGGACATGTGTTACGTATGCGTAACTATCCATCACCTTCCTCGACGGTCAATGTTAGCTGACATAGGATGGATCAGGTTGGAAAAGAGAGAGCTAGTGGTGGTCAAACAAAAACATGGCTTCATCAGTCAATGAAATCCACAACAGTTAGTTTAAACCAATCAAGTAGGGAGGTGTAGACTTTCTGGTTTGGGCCCTAGCGATGGTAAAAACCAATGAAGGATGGAAACAATTGGTGATATACCTCAAAATCGTTCTCAATGGCTAGCGCAGATGTATTCACTATTTGTGATTTGTAATATTCAAGAGAACTCTATTGTTCCTCCATATTAGTATTCTGTTCGCCCCACATTTCTGTTTATATTATGTCTCTTTTGAATCTCTCTTTACTCTCTTCTATCGCTTTGTGTACTACAATGAGGGAGTGTAGCAACTCGTACTACTGCACATTTGTGCAAAGGTCTATGTTGAAACCAGTCAGTCAGTAATTAATGTGAAAGAAACAAATCACACGTTTTCGCATGACCCAGTGTACGTTTAACACCTGCCTATTTGAGCCTCGTGACTGGATCGATATGTGCCATATATTTTTGTACTTTTTCTCTGACTCGTTTTTCGAAACACACGTTTCCTGGATTATACTAGCTCGGGTCAGAGAATAATCGACCAATAAATTAACAACCGTTCATATCGTTAATTAGAACTCGTCCTCACATCCGGAGACATCATAACACTTCGTCATTGGGTGTGAGCTTTAATAAGACGATAAAGCAGCTTAATTTTATCTTGTTTCGATGTCACATTGTACACACGACCAACATATTTAGAGTTAGTTAGCTATCGCAACTCACCGAATCTTATGACTGCATATAAACTCGCTTTTCACACATAACTGAAGCTATATGAAACCTAGAGTAAATAACCGTAACTTCTTGGTTCAAAAGACGTTCACTATCTCGTTTAATCAAATTAGATTTGAACGAATTTGCTATTTATAACGTTTCCACACCCTACCTGTCCATTCTATTCGTTTGGATTTTCGTTATCCAATAATCTCGTTTTCAGTACTAAGCGATTTATAATATTCTATGTTCTAACTTAATTTAATTACCAAAATAATAACGCTGGAGTTGCATTTGGATTATTCCCAGCACCACCTATTGGTATTGTGATGTCAGGTGATAAGAGAATCCGCAACGGACCTTTCCTATTACTGAAAAACACACCATATTTATATATTTTTAACCCCATTAAAAATCGGCTAGATCAGATGTCAATAAACTGCTCTGTTTGGTTGGAGATTACCCCAAAGTTTAAACAAGGAGATAAAAAATTGTCCAATAAGATTATTGCAAGACCACAACGTAAACTAAATTCACATTTGAGGAATAAGCAACACTCTTACCTCTTCAATCAGCCAATGACTTAAAGGGTTGACTTCAATTTCTGGCCGCTTCCTATCAATCTGCATCCATCAAGGACACACACACACACACCTTGTATTACTATATTCCGTTCTGAAATACAACTTAATAAGCTAGTCTTTTAGGATTAAGTTTTATCGTTACACACACACAAAAAACAATCCAAGATTGAAACAAAAATTCATATTTCACCACTATATGCTACGGTCGGAAAGGTTACTGACATCCTACAGGAATTAAGTTACCTAAATTTTTGTTCAACCCGTGTTTCTGTTGATATTGAAACCTGTACTATTCAGTGTTTAAGAGTTAAAGACTTCATCAACAAGCCACTTAGATGACAAATGATCTCCTGAAAGGGCTGATTAATGTACACGGAGGTAAGTTTCTGTTCAACATGGAGCTTAAATAGCAGTTTAACGGTAATAATGTAAGTGGATTGATAATATAAAATACACGAGTTTGACTTATAACTGGAAGGTCCCAGCTTTGAACCTCAGGACGTAACAGTTGTTCAACACCTCCTGCTAGTTTTCCAATGATCCTCTCTCTAACTAATATCAATCGATAGTCAAATCTGAAACGTATCAAATCACTAGAAAATTAACCAATAAAATGAATAAGTTAGAAAAAAACAAACAGAAATGAGTACTTTCCAAATATTTCATACTCTTTTTAACTCAGCAACAAAGTGCTCATCAAAATAATTATAAATCATAGTCAAGGGGAGAAAAAAAAACAGAAACATAACGAAACTACAAATAACAAAACAAAAACAATCTCCAAAACCTAAGCAGAAAACAAAAATAATGCTGAGTTAGATGTCGACTTCCATACTATTTAAAAAAACCGATGGCTTCACAGTATACAACCTATACAACATAATACACCAAAAGTTGAAGTATGTTTGTTATCTTTACATTGTCAAATGAACCGCAGTACAGAATACACATATACACATATATATCACATTACAATCATCTATGGGGCTGTTGGAGAAGTCCCTACAACAGACACAAAATTGATACACATGATGAAAAGAAAGAAAAAAAGAAAAAGAATTAAAATGCATATGTTAGCGAGTTAAGGGGAAACCGACAACACACAAGAGAGAATGAAATGTACACTTATTTTAGTGAACCACTTACTGACGAAGGAGAACTCTGTTGTTTATGTTGATCAATGTTAGATTTTGTAACAGGTGGAAATGGAGGCGGAGGTAGAAATCCTGGAGGGAAAGGTACTGGAAATCCTGGCAACATATGTCCCGGGGGTGGTGGTGGTGGTCTAGCATCTCCTTTTAAACCACCTGGGAATGGCATAATTCCAGGCGGCGGCGGAGGTGGAGGAGGTGGCATGAACGGAAATGGATTAGCTTCAGCGACTGCTGATCTTTGAGAAGACAAACTTGTTAATGATTGTCTTGACAGAGAGTTTGTATTTCCACTGGCATTTTTCATGAAACCAGATGGTAACAAAGGTCTCGGGAATACATTCATAATTTTTTCAAATGATCCCGGTTTTTCTGAGAATGCACGCATTGATGAACGTAAATTACTATTTTCCGATTCAATCAATTTCTGGCGAAGAGTTGAATTCTCCTCACGAAGCTCTTGAACTTGATGTTCAGATGCACGAGCTGCTAACCAATTTTCATGACAACGCTTATCCAACTCTGATTTCTGCCGCCTACTGGTGCGTTCAGTTTCAGCCAGTTCACGTCGTAAAGCTGATATCTGTTCTCGGAGTACTCTCCCCTCTGCTTCAAGCTCTTGATTACGCTTTCGACTATTCACGAGTGCTTCTGACGACTCAGAACCGACTACAACATGTTTCCCTAAATCTCTTTGCAATTCAAGCTCACGTTCTTTAAAGTACTCTGACAAAATATCCAGCTTAGTTTGTAGGGCATTTCTCTCCTGTTCAAGTTGAGTTTGACTAGTTCTCAAGGTGGAGTTTTCTTTTTCTATTTCTTCCAATTTTGATTCAACTTCAATTCTTAACTCATGTTCATTTTTCGCTTTAAATTCTTCACTTTTTATCTGTTCATCTTTCAGTCTGATTTGAGCATGCAATCGACCGATATCCAAAAGAAATGATAAATGTTCATGTAGTTTCGACTTTTCTGTCCGCTGATGCTGATGATGCTGACTGTCCACTTCATCATTTAAGCTGGATATATCACTTTGAGAAAGAGTACGCGATTTGTTGTCTAGATCCCCTACTACTGCATCTTCTGATATACCACTTGTATGAGATAGATTATCAGTCATGCTTACTTCATTTTCTTCAGTTCTATCTGTTTCATGCTTTAAACAAGATGTTTCTTGTTCAGATAATATCACTTCAAGACTTTTCAGTGTATTGAATGTGCTGAGTAGACTTTGAAATTCTGCTTCCTTGGCAATCAACTTTTCTTCAGTCAATTTACGCGACTCAATAATCTTGTCCACCTCTGATTGCATTGTCTTCATGCGATTATAATATATATTAGCTTGTGAATACAGTTTCTCTTGTTCATCTTTTAATTCTTCTATAGACTTCTGGCTATTTTCTTCAATTTTTGATAGTTTCCGCTTCCAGCTTTCTTCATTCTCAGCATTCAATTGTTTCAAGTGATCAATTTCTGAGTGTAGTTCACGAATCGCCTCCTCCTTATCTTGTAGCTTTGAACGTGAATTTCTTTCTAGTATAGCGTGTGCATCTTTTAAACGATTCAGCTCAGACTGGACACGTATAAATGATTCGTGTGAATCATCAACGGATAGTGTCATCGCCGACAGCTTCGACGTGTACTCTTCTTGAAGACTTTGTAGTTTACGTTGCAGGGAGTTGGCCCACTTCGATAAGTGTGCATTCGACTCTTCCATATCTGACAGCTGACTTGCCAGTTGAATACTATACTCTTCAAGTTTTATATAATCACTAGAAGATGTAGATTTGTATTTTTGAGGTGAAATATACCTGTAAAACAAGTAGTTCATACCTTTTCCGATATTCCAAATAAAAATTAAATGAATTGCAAATATCATCCATGCAATGAGAAAATCTAATGATATAGAACATGTTGTTAAAAGCAGATGATTTATACTCGTGACCATATTCTCAGGGAAGTATTGAAGAGATAAATTGGCAGTTTTAAAGAAATAGACAATTCCATTGATCAGTAGACGTGATAAAGGCGATTTAAACGATGCCGCCTTATGAGCTTCAAAAAGACTAGCATTCGCCGCGAAGTATAAACATTGTACTAATCCCATGTGTACTGGGAAATCGTATGATTCGTAGAATTCTTGACACATTGCTGGACAGGCGAATTTACTTAAATCGACAGTATGATGTTGTGTAGCAGGTTCAAGATTTAATTCATGCGAGACAATTGTGTCATTGTTTTGCGGTAAGATATTATTTTCTGATGGAGTTTCACTATCTGGAATTTCATGTTTAGACAAGGAACTATGATCAGGTAAGGTGATATTCTCATGATGATAGGAAGAAATACTTATTGTTGGATCTAAGATAACATTATCCATAGACACATTTGATGATACCACATCATTAGCAGTCTGATCAACTATCTCCTTAACGGTTTCACTTGAAGGAATAGATGGTGACGCCTCCTGTTTGACAACATCAACTGGAGATGGCTTTCCTGATGCAATATCAATACCAGTCTGATCAACTCCTTTATCAACTACATTTGAAGGAATGGATGGTAACGGCTCTTCCTTAACAACATCAGCTGGAGACGGCTTTCCTGGAGTACCATTATCCGTTGGATCAGATGGCTGTGGTGTATGACTGCTAGTCTGATCAAATCCTTCATTAACTACAACACCTGAAGGGATGGACGGTGACGGCTCTTCCTTAACAACATTTGCAGTCGGCTTCCTTGATACATCACTATCACTTGGAACAGGTGGTGCATGACCGACAGTCTCATCAACTCCTTTGTCAACTATATTTGAAGGGATGGGTGGTGGCACCTCCTGTTTAACGACATCAGCTGGAGATGGCTTTCCTGGTGTACTATTATCGATTGGAGCAGGTGCAGGTGGTGCATGAACAACAGTCTCATCAACTGCCTTTTTAACAACACTTGGAGGGGTAGGTGGTGGCGGTTCCTGTCTAGCAACATCAACTGGAGATGGCTTTCCTGATGCAACATCAATACTAATCTGATCAACTCCTTTATTAGCTGCACTCGGAGCGGTAGGTGGTGGCGACTCCTGTTTAACAACAGCTGGAGGGGTAGGTGGTGGCGGTTCCTGTTTAACAGCCTCAACTGGAGACGGCTTTCCTGATGCAACATCAATACCAGTCGGAACAGAGGTAGGTGGTGGATGACCACCAGTTTGATCAACTCCTTTATTAACAACACTTGGAGAGGCAGGTGGTGACGGTTCCTGTCTAGCAACATCAACTGGAGATGGCTTTCCTGGTGTACCACTATCGATTGGAACAGGTGCAGGTGGTGCAGGAACAACAGTCTCATCAACTGCCTTTTTAACTACACTTGGAGGGGTAGATGGTGACGGTTCCTGTCTAGCAACATCAACTGGAGATGGCTTTCCTGCTGTCCCACTATCAATTGGAACAGATGCAGGTGGTGCAGGAACAACAGTCTCATCAACTGCCTTTTTCACTACACTTGGAGGGGTAGGTGGTGGCGGTTCCTGTCTAGCAACATCAACTGGAGATGGCTTTCCTGGTGTGCCACTATCAATTGGAACAGATGCAGGTGGTGCAGGAACAACAGTCTCATCAACTGCCTTTTTAACAACACTTGGAGGGGTAGGTGGTGACGGTTCCTGTCTAGCAACATCAACTGGAGATGGCTTTCCTGGTGTGCCACTATCAATTGGAACAGGTGCAGGTGGTGCATGAACAACAGTCTCATCAACTGCCTTTTTAACAACACTTGGAGGGGTAGGTGGTGGCGGTTCCTGTCTAGCAACATCAACTGGAGATGGCTTTCCTGGTGTGCCACTATCAATTGGAACAGGTGCAGGTGGTGCATGAACAACAGTCTCATCAACCGCCTTTTTAACAACACTTGGAGGGGCAGGTGGTGGCGGTTCCTGTCTAGCAACATCAACTGGAGATGGCTTTCCTGGTGTGCCACTATCAATTGGAACAGGTGCAGGTGGTGCATGAACAACAGTCTCATCAACCGCCTTTTTAACGACACTTGGAGGGGTAGATGGTGACGGTTCCTGTTTAACAACAGCTGGAGATGGCTTTCCTGATGCAACATCAATACCAGTTGGAACAGACGTAGGCGCTGGATGAATACTAGCTTGATCAACTTGTCTATTGGCTTCACTTGATTTTTGTTGTTCATTATCACGATGGGCTGTACCTCTTTTAACTCTTTGATTTGTTTGCTTATTGTTCACCGGAATTCGATCACTTTTCATTTCTCTATGCTCATTAGCATTTACCTGCCCTGTGTGTAGGTCTGTGTCTTCTGAATCTGAATTCGTCGGGTAGGCGTCCCAATCTTCAGAGTGACCCTCTGAAAATCTTTGGTTTTCAAGCGTTGATTCACTGTCATAGACTATACTGTCAGACGTAGGGCGAGAAGAACGCTTTTTCTTATTAATATAAACCACATTATCATCGTCATCATAGTATTTGTTATCTTCAGCATTATCATGCTCAGATTCAATATCCTCGTCAGTTTCTTCAAAATGAGATTCTTGCAGGACTTTTTCACGACCATTAAACTTTTGTGTCTCTGTTTTTTTCAAATTTGTTTTAATTCCATTTTTTGAATCTTTGACAATAGTATGATGATCAGTTGAAGCTTCTCTGTTGTTGTTGTTATTATTATTATTGTCTCCATTTTCAATTTTTAATAAATTCCGTGAATCGGAAGATGATTGCTTTTCATGGACAAAACTTGAATCAATATAGAAGTAATCATTGCCCACCTTGACTTTAATCACTGAATTATCATTATCAGCACTTTTTGCTATAATATCCACAGGTGTATTTTTTGTAAATACTTTTCTGTCCCCGAGACTAACATCTTGAATTAATTGTCCAGTAGATATACTATTGATACAATTTTCATCAGAACATAACAAAAATGTTGGTAGATTTTTTCTATTCACTGTTTGAGCATGACAAAGTAAAACGGAGAGTCCAATAAGCGATGTAATGAAATAGATTTTCATCCTAAAAGTTAAAAACTAACTGATGATATTTTTTTATATATGTATAAGGAGAGATTAACAGCAAATTTATGTTTTAAAAAAATGCATGTATCACTGTCCATATATAGTTAGATAATAATAATTATAATTATAGCCAGAGCCTATCCTGCAGCTAAGTTGGTTCCCGTCCATCGAGCAACATGCTCTTTGGAGCAATCAAAAGTCGACAGATACCCTCTTCATGTTAACTCCAACTGTGTGTACAAATTTACGTGTATCTGCGGGAGCAATTATACTGGGAGAACAGAAAGAAGAAGGGCACATCTCCGATTTTCTGAACATGTGCCGAAAAGCCTACGTCTCAAGGGAACAAACTCTTAAAATAGCGCTATTACCAGACATCTCCTCGATACGGGTCATGAGGTGGAAATCGCGAAATCCTTTAAAATTATCAATAGATAGAGGAGCTCGATTCTCCTCAAGTTTGCCGAAGCAATTTCTATCAAACGCTTGAAACCAGATTTATGTGTTCAGAAAGAAGCAGTTATTAGTCTTTCCTTGCCCATCCTGATAACTGGATATCTTTATTCTTTCTTTCATTTGATTACGTAATCTTTGGCTTTAATCTCCATCCCCTTTGATATAGTGTAATTTTGCGTTTACTGAGTTGAACTCAGTTGAACGCACCTCTACCACTGTATGCATACATTTACTTTGTTTACACTTGAACTGTTCACTAATTGCGGAAATTTCTGTCAACTGACATGATGAAAAATTTGCAAGTATGTTAAGACTTTTCTATACATACACCTCACAATTTATTTAGGCTGTAAGCAGCAGTTGATGAGAAGCCAACGAGATAGATGATGGTACCATATTATTCTGCACAAACCACTGTTGTTGTTCTTGCTTTATTCAAATTCATGAAAGGGAAATAAATGCATGAAATAGCAATAACATGAGACAGCTATAAATGAATTAACACGTTCAACATGAAAAACACTCGTTAAACATGACCATAACTGATTCTGACAGTTGACAATAGAATTCATACTTTATTTCGGCGGAATTGTGAATATGGGGTGAATAGAGAGTAATTAAAAAACGCCTTTGACAAGTATGACCATCTTTCGTTGCTCTCACAGAAACAACTAAGCAAGCAGCAAAACAGACAACTATACTGTTGAGTCATAAAAATGTTCAGATGCTCACACAGTTCATAAATCTGTGTCATTATGAATGAGTGTAAGCCATGTGTCACAAACAGTCATCAAACTGTGCTACTTAGCACGCAGGCAGTCAGTTTGACCTACATTTCCCTATATAACTCAGACCAAGTCTAGTTGATGACTTCATCAATTTGTGTGATACTTTTGTTTGAACACCTCTAACTTTTCCAACGTCATTCTGCTTTAGCCAACATTATTCGTTGAGGACAGTAGTCCTTCGGCATACATGACAATACGTGTTTCAGGCAAGTCAACAGATGGAGATTCAGAACTTCTATAAACTGACTTTGAATTTCTTACCCAACACTATACTTAACTTCAACATTACTAACCATGTGCATGAAATAAAACGGATGGTCAAAAGCTTACGGTCTATTAAAATGTACTACTTTTAATAGTAATAAAATGAAATATACGGGAGAAAGAATAAAAAAGAATTCAGTGGATTTGAGAGTTCATAAACAATGTGGATGCATCTGCACAATCAACAACGATTTCTGACCATATCACAAACAGACTCCAGTAATTGGCTCATAGCATCGTAAAGACCTCAACCAGGCAGTCTACATCATATGTAGTTGAAAACAACAGTCCAATACCTCATGGATTGACGCAACGTTATGATTTGACCACCCCATCTCTTTTTCAACATAATTCTACGTGGAAAGCGAATGCTTGGCATGTGTAATACGTGTCTTAGTCACCTCATACGACAGGGATTCACAACCCCAACGACTAGCTTTTCCTCTATTTATCTAACACTCTACACCTATCCTCAATAGTATTCACCATAATGTACGCAAATACCCATGGGCAAAACAGCTAGTCTCTTGATACCTTTCACTTTCAACAGCCAAGTATCTACAACCCTAAAGGGTTGATTGCTGACAAAATCTCAGCATGGATACAGAAGGATCGTTTCGCATATGCCAGTTTACGCCGTCTCTAGCGTTGACGTGATATCCGGCTGTTTATCTACCAAAGGGTATGTTTACTGCTAACCAGTCCACTCCGTCCTCCTCTGTGGCTGTGAGCGAGACATGGCCATTGAGAGTGGAAAACATGAAAATGCTAGCTGTCTTCGATCATAGTTGCCTACGTTCTATCTCTCGTGTGAAATGGTATAAAAGGGTGAGCATTATTGAGCTTAGGCGTCGAGTGCTAGGTGAGGAGGGGAAATCAATCATCGAGGCTGTGAAGTTACATTGACTGACATGGTTAGGACATGTGTTATGCATGCCTAGCCATCCACCGCCTTCTTCGACGGGCAATGTAAGCCGACATATGGTCAGGTTGGAAAAGAGCCAGTGGTGGTCAAACCAAAACATGGCTTCATCAGTCAATGAAATCCACAACAGTTAGTTTAAGCCAGCCAGCCACGTAGAGAGATGTATACTGCTGACTGGTTGGGGTCCTCAGGATGGTAAAAACTAATGACGGCTGGAGACAATTGGTGATATGGCTCAAAATCTTTCTCAATGGCTGGTGCAGATGCATCCACTCCTTGTGACTTATAATATCTAATAAAACTATATGGTTCTTCGATATTACTATTCTTTTTGCCTCACATCTCTGTTTACTGTCTCTGTTTTGCATTTCTTTCTACTTTCTCCTCTTGCTTTGTGTGCTAAGTGAAGTGTGATGACTCGAACTGCTGCACATCTGTGCAAAGTTCTATGTTGAAACCAGTCAGTCAGACAAATATCCACAGTTAAGAACAAAGCGAACTGTTGCGCATTACATATGTCCTTTGATCGATGTGCGTCGGTGGCACAGTGGTTGGGACTCTCGCCGACCATGCGCATGGTCCGGGGTTCGATCCCCTGCCGACGCACACCCGATATCTATGGTCGGCCTGCAAAATTTGGGCTACCGATATCCATGCTGAAAATTCCATACTTGTACTGAAAATACGTGTGACATCAAGCTGTAATCAAAATTAAATAAAATAAATAGATATCACGTCTACGCCAAAGATAACGTATGTTGGCAAATCCTACATAAGCCTCTGCCGAGATTTTGTCAGTAACTATTCCATTGGAGCTGATGTAAACTCCCAAATAACTGGTCAACACACTTCACCATTGCACTCCCTATCCTTAAACTAGAAGTCGATGCACACTAGTCCTGCAGCATCACCCTAAATTTAACAGAGAAGAATCACATGGCAAACATTTTAAGATTTCTCCTTAAGGTGTTTAGAGAAATCTGGCAAACTCTGTCGAAGAGTGAAGATGTAGTCAATACACTCACGTCTAACCATGAAAGCTTCTTGGTTTTTTCAGGTTTGTTTTCCCTGTACAGATGGTTATGGAACCTAGAATTGCAGATACTATGTTGGTCAAGCTGATCCACTTGCGCTTATCATAAGAAGGTTTTCTCTATCTTTCATATGCTGTGATGATCAAAAAGTCCCCCCGGACTCCGACAAACTAACCAATACTCTAGTTAATCTAGTCAATAATTCATCACCATCATATTTATGTGCCTTCATAGTTAAAAGTCTGCTGCTTTGCATCCTTCTAAGTAAGAGACATCTTTGAACAAATAGTTATACAAAGATGGTGACATGGCTAAAAATCACTGACTATCGCAGACGTCTTCACTATAAACTTTTCAACATCACTACTTTTTAACAAGTAATTTCTTCCCCCACAGATATTTGTTCATTGCATTCTCCTTACATTTTTGTTACCTTGTGCACTAATTTGAACTGTTACAACTACAGCTGATGCATTTCTGTGCAGCGTTCTCCGTCGATTAGTCCACTTATCCTATATTCGAGTAGACTGCAAAGACTCATGAAATATGTTATGGTTCATTATACTATGTAAGAAGTCTGCACAGCTAAAATAGGGAGAAGATACTTATTTTTTCGAACAGATGTTAATGAACTGTTGTAGAGAATAGGAGCTGACTGACGCTCGCTGAATTGGCTGTCTAGCCATTCACATACGGTATACAGGTAGTTTACAAGCGCATACAAAATCTGGGGAACGCACCTTCTCTTGGTTTGGACATGCAATGATCTAGAAGGAGTACTACTGTTTGCTTGGTGTTTGGATTTTAAGTCCCTTAAGGCAGTGTGTGTGTGCGTGTGGGCTTCCTAGTATTTTAACCAGTAGAAACTTTTACATTCTAAATACCCTTTTTGTTAAATTTAGGATGAAAAATTGCATTCAGGTGCTTATTCAAAAGGTAACTCATTATCCCTAGACACAATTTCAAAAGGACCACGCATATGATTCTTGATATAATCGGTTTGCTTCACAAGAAGCAAGAAAGAAGTATCTTTTCATCTCTTCAAATAAAATGAGAGAAGTTAGTCATGTTACACATGTTACACAAAAACCAACTGCAAAAAGATGCAATTGACATAGAGCCACACCCATTACATGAGGGCGAATGATACTACCTTGCTGCAAAAACCCGGATAAGTGAAAAGTAGCTTACACCAATGCCCCAGTAGTTGGTATGGGTGGGTGTGAAGATAAACCAATAAGTCACAGGTTTGATTGACTGGTTTCAACATAGAACTTTGCACAGATGTCCAGCAGTTCGAATCGTCACACTTCACTTAGCACACAAAACCAGAGAAGAAGAAAGTAAAGAGACACGCAAAATAGAGACAATAAAGAGAGATATGAGGCAAAAATAGTAATATTGAAGAACCATATAGTTTCACTGGGTAATATAAGTCACAAGGAGTGGACGCATCTGAGCCAGCCATTGACAACGATTTTAAGCCATATCACCGTTTGTCTCCAACTTTCGTTGGCTTTTACCTTCCCTA